AAATAACTAAACCACTTCAACGTATAATGAGCTATTGTCAACCTGGAAACGATAAACAATAAAAGGATAATTAATTATACATAGGATAAAGATAATATTTGTTATAAAAAAAARATAATTAAACATTTACCTTCTATAAAAAGGTCTCGATTCTTCAACCGTATCCATTGGGTCYTTAAWTAAAAATACTCGCAATCCCCTGATGTAAGTARTAGAAAAACAGTTCCAATCAATATCAGCAACATTAAAGAAGAARTTACTTTTATCWACAATAGATAATTTGTCCCATAACTTCAAGACATTATCGTTTGTAAATTCCCATTCATTCATGGAAAAGAAACTTATTACATGTTTAAMCTTTTCTATTTTTCTGTAGAYATTAAGCAGTCTGAAAAAAATGCCAATTATTTATTTATGCTCTATTACATCGACGGATAATAAATAGCTTGTTAACCTAAAAATCATAATAAATTACATTGGCTTTTTTCCTCTTAGATATAAAAAAGAGTCCACTATTATTGCTGGTATCCAGTGCAAAAAGATTGTCATAAAGATATAGAWATAATAGTTCTTGATAWACCATWSTGAGCCGTACCAAAGCAYTTTTTTCGACGGGAYTTGAAATCYYTCWAWSYTTAWATTATTCATCAWAGTATCCCAAGTAACTGGTCTTTGAACGGAGGAAACASAATTATAAACTGGWATCTCATYGTCAACAGGTAAGTATTTGTTATCTCTGCTGGAAAAGTTAACAATCTGTGATATGGATATACAAAARAAGTTSTAACTTAYTTAATGTAAATGATATTTTAAGAGWTTTACTAAAAGTTTATTTTAGTARTAWACTRAAAAAGGAGATACAAATTACCGWTTWTGTGCAACRTCCCATGCTGCAGCAATAATGTTGTTGACAACATAATCGGCAGGAATTATATCGCAAATTAGGTCTTTATCACAATACAKKGYTCGTAAAAYACCTKTYGMRSWACCAAMAGCAGCACCTGTAAWTCCATTCAAATTGTTTATCCAGCCAGCTATTGGTTCCTTTTCTGTTGATACAACCACGGATGGCCGAACAATGCCAGTTGGTATTCCATTAGCATATTGTCTTACTGTATCTTCACAGATTGCCTTTGAAAAAGCGTAGGTGTTAGGCCACTTACCCAGTAGCCTGTAAAACAAACGAATATGTTTATCGACTTATCTTTAAAGGAATGAAATAGGTTTCATGTGTTATTACTTTGGGGTGATTAAATCTAATTGGTCTTCGGTCAAAATCTCTGTCAATCTAATTATATCATCTGTCTTCATAGGTGGCTTATACAATTTTTCTTCGATTTTACTGTAAACACAGTGCGAGTAGGCCGTTGAAACATAAACAAAGGCCTAAAGAACAAAATTATTATAAAATTAGAACAATCTATGTTGAAAATTAAACTAAATTTTATATATAAATAAATTGATCTAGTCGGGAATTGTGCTTAAACATACGCATTTTTATACGGATGATTTAACTAGGAAAAAAATACCTTTAAGCTTGTCATTTCTTGTGCAAGCAAAAGAAGATCTCTTGTTCCTCTAATATTTGTATTAACTATATTACGAATATTGTCCAGAAAACGTACTGATGCTGCACTGTGAAAAATTACATCGGTATCTTTAATGCGATCGCGGTCCTTCTCTGACAATCCTAAATTCAATAGACTCGTGTCTCCTTCAATCACAATAATCTTCTTTTCAACATCTTTTTGCTCTCTCTTTAATCTATCAAAAATCTAATGATTTAAATATAAACTGTAATACTGGTGACATCGTTTATTCCGATAATAATAAGTACAAAATGTGTAACTTTACTCACAACATCATTGAAATATTCTTTAAATCGAGTCTGCGGATCCTTCTGTTTCTTTGCCCTTACCAGCAAATAAATCGTTGTTATTTCTGGACAACATCTGCAAACCGCAGCAACTGCATTTATAGTACAAGTTTTTAGCGGAAAATTATTTCTTATAAAACAAAACATTGTGGTGTCAATGTTTAGATATAGAAGTAAAGAGAGAAGTAGAAGAAAAGAAATATAAAGAATAATCATCGTTATCTTTTAAAACAGATATTATTTCATAGATACTGTCTGCTGAATTTAATATTTTTTCTAACTTTTTTTTATTGCTAAGAAAATAATTTTTTTTTTTTTTATGACAAAAGCTCCAGGCTTATTTTCCTATCAAGTAATCTAACAATCCTTAGGTACAAAAGTCACAATTATTTATAGACTTTAAATTCAAGAAATATTTTTTCTTATTTGTTTCAAACCATATAAATCTCAAGGAGAAAAAAACTACTAAAAAAAACTATCCGATTGTACATACTATCCTAATTTATTTAAAATTTATGATCGGCAGCTTATAACGAATGTACTAATTGAATCGAGAACAAAAACATAGGAGGAAAATATTTACCTTAAAAGTTTTTCCATTATAAGCCTTCCTATAAATCCTAAGCCTCCTGTTATAAAAATTTTCTTTCCAGAAAAAAATGTAGCAATTTCTCCTCGTTGATTGTAATAATTCGGCTCTTCTACCATTGATAATATTTCTTCTTGATACGTTTGTCCGCTTAATGATGCCATTTTTTGAATTCTTTTATAATAAAAACAAAATATTACATACAAATAAAGTAAGAAATATTTCACTTTATAGTAATTATCGATGACAGACAAATATTGAAGATAAGTAATTATTTATAAGTGATTGAAATAGATGCTTTTAATTCTAATTATTGTTCTAAGTAGTTCGTTTTTAAATAAATGAAAAATTCAGCTTTTTTTCTTTTTAAATAATATTCCTATAGTAACAAACATAAATAAAATAAGTATATTTATTCTAACAAAATAATTATTCTATAGAATTAATAGTTTTTTTAAATAACGTTTCAAAATAAACATGTCAATGAATATTTCTAATGACTGAAGCTATTCTCATATTCTATGGCCTTTTTAGTGTTTCATTCAATATAACATCAATATAATTTCTGATCCAGCTTTTAGTTTTATTCGAAACATAAAAAATAATTGAAAATTTAGTTCGTTTGTTCTTTTTCCTTATTTATAGGTATTACACTTATTTAGAAAATTTGATCTTTTGTAAATTTAACAGTTGGGAATAGTATAGAATAGTAAATAATAAAAAACTTACCTATTTATCTCAACAACTTTTATCACAATAAATATAATAAAATATGACGACAAGTTTTCCGATTTTAAACTATAAAACAAAAACTTTTAATAACTTTTTATCCTATGAAGAACAAAATATTTTTGTTAGATATTAAAAAAGATTATAATAAACTAAGTATTAAAAATGACCTCTTGATAGAAATGACTATTGAACTTTTTCCAAGTAACCTAGTTCAACTCCAATTAATGATTGAGTAATATTAGCTAGTCGGTCTTTGCATTTATATAAAGATAACCACACTATTGTACAATGTACACGCTTAATATTATCAATTTGCATACAATACAACAGAAATCAACATAGTCATCGTAAGAATGTTCGTTTTATAAGTACATGCTAATTGAATTATTCTAAATTTTACATCGTCTAATAGCAATGCTTTATCGTATACTATTACTTTTTTGACTACGGTACACTCTCGAAGAAAACTAGCAATTTAGAAAGCGTACAGTAGTCCCAAATTTATAATATGTTTCATAAAAATGAAAATATAATTTAATATTTTGTAAAATTAGTTTATGAATTTTTTTGAAATAGTTGACTACAAATCTTATATTAGCTTTTTAACAAAAAAAATGGAAAACACACAACTAAAGATAATACTTATGTCAATTTAAATGAAACTGATGTTATTTGTGGCGAGATCGTTATTTTAAACGTGCCTTTTTTTATTGTAATTATTGATAGGATTGGTAAATCTGTGCTAGATAGGTAAACATAAACTACTATTCACGAGATAATGTTTTTGATAATAAAGATTATTATTTAGGTAAATTACAACAAAATTACTTGGCTTCTTTCTTTTTCCATTTGCAGTCTTTGACGTTGGATTGTCACTTGAAGATGGTATTAATCTCTTATTTTAATTGAAGATTTTTATAAAAAATTTTTCCATAGGGTCTAATATGTTATCCATAGATAAGAAAAACTGGGTAATTATTATAAGTGTCGAGAACTATTTATGTAGATGTATTTCTATCAATTGATATCTCATTCAGCATTCTATCTTAATTGATACAATTTGGATATTAATCGTTTTTATTAGCTACCCCCATAGCAAGATCGTACCGGAGCCCTTTGATATATATGGTAACAATATTATAATAAATAAATCCTATAATTATCTTATTCTTGATTCTGTGCATTCATCTGATTCTCTAAAAACTTATTTTTTTTAAGGTTTCACTTCGAACACATATGATCTGCGCATAATTTTTTTTTTTTTTATATATATATAATAAAATGGATTTTTGTGAAAATTAAATGTAAATGTAGAATCTTTGACTGTGGATCAGGAATTACAGAAACCACCTCGCGGTGAGACTTTAATCGGTATTGATCGTGGTATACGACATCGCTTATCTCAACATTCAACGACCATCGACTTTTTATTGGACATCGATATAAGAATCTGAATTAAAAAAATCATTGAAATATTTATTACTGTCGTGATCTTGACTTGTAAACAACTACCATTTTTAATAAATGTACTTTTGTACCAGTTGATCATCCACCGGACGCATAATATAACTGTAGCGTGATATTTCTAAATTTAATTGTAAACTTTGTAACAAAAATAATGCTTAGCGAATGTGACTGTACAAAATTATAATAGTTTACATGTTTAATTAATATTCCCTTTTTTTCTTCTGACAATTCGTTTTTTTCGAAATAAATAAAAGAAACTTCGTTCTTTTATTCAAATGACTTGTAAAAATACGTAAATGTATGTATATATGAAATAAACATTTAAAACGTATTTACATATTTTAGGCGATAAAATTAATATGTAGTTTCTTCTTCATTTTATTTCCTGTTTGAATACGCTATCGACCTTTGTGAAAGGTCACTCCACTCGGACAATGGGGGGAAACGATATTCCGTTTTTAAAAAAAAAACGAAGTTCCGTTATGCATGATTTCACTACGATCTTTATTAAAAACGAGAGATGTACCCATTGGTTCACTATGGGAGGGAGGATCCTTCTGGTATTGATCGATAGTATTCAAAATCTCCTCCCCTTTCCAAAGGGGTGTTACTCATTTATGATATAAATATGTGAAAGAAAGTAAGAAAGCAGTTCCTTAGTCTATCAGTTCTTAATCTGTATCAGTCTGCATATCTGTCAGTATTAGTCCTTAGTTCTTAGCTTAATAATTATACTTTCAGTCTGTTATATTCGTTTGCGTATTTTATCAGTTAGTTTATCAGTTTATTTGTCAGTCAGTCCGTCTTATATTCATAACTCTTTTGTATTCTGTATTTTTGTAAGCATGCCACTTTTTTGTAAACCTCTTGTTAATACTGCTGAACATCGCATCATTATAATTGGCGATAAAATAAACTATATTATTATCATCATCAGTTATATATTTCTCTCTCAATGAACCCCACAATAGATAGTTCTTATAATTTTAGTTTTCAAGTATTGTACTAATCTGTAAAAAAGAAAAAAAAATCTATTATCTAATAATTCAATATCAAAACTCGTAACACATACAAATCTTAAGAAGTTTCACTTGAGTCGCCTTGAAATTCTAAGCGTTTTTCTATTTAACGATATTTTTTAATCTGAATAACTAATCTTGACAATCTATTACAACATGCGTTACTAATATTGAAAGCACGGAACCAGATACCAGGAGGGCGATCGACATTCTAAAAGTTTTCACCAAACCATATTGTAGGGAGTACGCTACTATTAAAATCTAAGGTTAAAGGTAAAAAAAATCGATTTATTGCACATTTTTTGCAAATATCTCGTATTCTATGGGTTTTTCGCTATCTGTATTACTTATCAATATTGTAGAGGAATAAATTCCCTACAACTTTTGTTTCAAAATTTTTTTTATACGTTGAATCGTTTTCGAGATATAGGGCGGAGAGCGCGCGGTTAGAGCATCATTTAAGGTTAACCGGTAATAATATCCTTTAACTAGCTACATACTTGGCGTATGTAGCTAGTTAAAGGATAATGAAATGTTAATGTTCGAGAATAGCGAATTGATGATTGATTAAGTATTAACAAGATGTAATTGAGAATAATTGTCCAAGGACGTATAATGAGTATAGGAAGGATGTAAACGCATGAGTATTAAGCTACGAGATTATATGTATGGAATATGTAAAAAATATTAGATATGTAAATGTATTGGTAGTCCATGAGGACAAGAGAATTTTCTCGAACGAGGATGCCCGGGACTCTTGGGCCAGCTAGGACTAAGAGTGGGGGTACCAGAGCTACTCCTCCCACGAAGGACTTTCGGGGGCTATAAAAGCCAGAGTCTATCGCCCCCAGACGCACTTACATTTTTCCAGTTTTCTAGTTCACACTTACGTTTTCATTTTCGGTAGTTTTAACTTATAGTTCTCAATAGTCACTTATAGTTGCAGTCATTTAAATACTTATAATTTAACTTATAGTTTGACTTCAATTTATGTTTCGAACGTTACTACTAGCTATCAGCTATACAATATTTAAATATTATTTGATCGATCAGTTATAATAAATAATTAACTTTGGGTCCTTGAGTGTCTCGACCCCTTTGGAAAGAAACCAGCCCAAGCCTCCTGTGCAATCTCGAAAGCAACCAGCAACTGTACTGAATACTGTAAGTCACCAATCATTTATTTATCATTAAATTGTTATTAAATCAGAGCTGCGGTCCACTAATCTTCTCCCTTGCTTCAAAACCTTCCTCAATCCTCCCTCTTAT